GAACCCGCGACCCGCAGATTGCGAGTCGAGCGTCCTAACCACCTGGCCATGCCGGGCCAAATTTAGAATGAAGAAAACATTAATAAAAAGTGTTTGTCTTCATAGTGGCCGTTGTTCGAAAAATCAGCGGGTATCGAAACTCGAACGTTTAACGTTATAAGCTCAAGGAATTATCGCTGACCCATCGGGGAGGGGGGAGGACAAGACGGTTCGTGCCTGGGTTTGCAACCATACAATGTATCCTGTTATCTTGTCCTTTTTTTTTGAAGAAGGGCGTTGACGATAGAATATCGGTCACTGAATAAACGTACTGTCTAATCTCTGAGTGAAAGTTTTCTAGGTAGGAAGCGTTTTTTTAGACACATATTGAAATACCTTCTACTAAGCATATAGAGCATTCTGCGTGCTATATTGGTCAGACTTGCTAGGCACGTACTCAACCTCTCAGTTCTCCCCAAGATGGACTTAGAACAGGAAAGGAAGAAACTGATACTAATGCATTAGAGTCGTCCAATGTCTACTTGCTTCAATCTTTCTTTCAGCGGATTTTAACTCTAAGAGCTCCACAAACAGAAATGGAAGACTGTTGTTGAAACGTATTCAGTACCACGACCGGCGTTATCAACCCACCACCGCTGGACACTCAAATTGTATTACTCTCATCTAATGGATCTGTCTTGTTAAGTGTATCACATAGACCGTCTTATGCTTACGTACTCTATGGTGAACCTGTTCTCTACTATAAACCAACAGGGAAACAGGCTCGGCTTTTTTTTTTTTTTGCGAGGATTCAAAGTTGCGCGTGCCTAATTGGCTCACCATCAGTGAGTGGCAATGTGACAACAGTCCATCGGGAGTTCGAAAAAAAAAAAAGGAACGCGTGTTCGCTCGAAAGTATCATGCCCCTTCCATTTGGTGTTATAAGCTCCAGCGCAATGAATGCTTTTAACCAGCTTGGTGTTATTTAGCGCCAGGCATAGACAAAGACTGGAAACAAGGACAGAGAATTATAAGAAAGAGCATTAACAGTGTTAATTAGGTTATCAGAAAGGAGATATGGTGGAAATCAGAGGTGGAGAGGAACTAAAGAACAGTGTGTAGGTACGGTATATCCATTTAAGTATTGAATTTAGTGAGGTACATTAACACCATAAGGATATCAGATTATGCTTTTGTTTTGGTAAGTAGGTTTTGGTTTTGTTACATTTATTGGTACGTAGGTTTTGGTTTTGTTACATTTAGGTAAAAGCGGGTGATTTAAACAATGACGTAGTATGATTTTGTTCTATAGTGTAATCGCTTATGTTTTCTAATACTTAAATTTGAAATTTACATAAATTATTTTTTAAACCCATATATTGATACATACTTCCAGTCACACCAGGTGGCGGTGTAAATTTTTCCTCTGTCGTTGTATTTTTTTTACTGTAGTCACTATTAACATACGTCCTAATAGGAAATAACTGTTAACACACGTTCTGATCGGAAGTAACATGTTGTGATTGGAAGCAACTGGTAATACACGTTCTGATAGAAAGTAACACGTTGTGATTGGAAGCATCTGTAACACACGTTCTGATAGGAAGTAACTGATAACACACGTTCTGATAGGAAGTAACTGTTAACACACGTTCTGATAGGAAGTGATACGTTGTGATTGGAAGTAACTGGTAACACACGTTCTGATAGGAAGTAACATGTTGTGATTGGAAGCAACTGGTAACACACGTTCTGATAGGAAGTAACACGTTCTGATAGGAAGTAACTGTTAACACGCGTTCTGATAGGAAGTAACTGGTAACAGACGTTCTGATAGGAAGTAACACATTCTGATAGGCAGTAACTGTTAACACACGTTCTGATAGGAAGTAACACATTCTTATAGGAAGTAATTCCTATCACTCCTACTTATAGGAAGTAATTCCTATCACTCCTACTTATAGGAAGTAATTCCTATCACTCCTACTTATAGGAAGTAACTGGTAACACACGTTCTGATAGGAAGTAACACGTTCTGTTTTGAAGGAAATAATGGGAAGAAGAAATTCCTCGTTTTGAGAATTTTTAATTTCTCGTCCACAACAGAGTGCCACCAGGCTCTGAAGTAATGCCATTTGGTGCCAGAAGACTATAACCTGCATAACACACGACATACTTTAAACACAGATAATACGTCTATATATTTAACCTGCATATAACATCCAAGTATTGTCTAAGAGAAAGTGTAGGGACAGAAGACTGTTCTTGATTACATACTTCTGTTTCAGAAGTATCCTGCAGAAGTCTTTAATGAAATGCATCTCCATATACACAGTAAGCCTAAAAAGGTGAACAAAGAGACATTTTTATATATGGCGATCTTGTCTCTCGCTTCGACATACAAATTTGTACTACAGCTACAGAAAGCAAGCCTTATCACCATGAAAAATACAAGTCTTCTAAAGATTCAGTGTTCTTACAAGAGCACGTGACCTTAAAAACGCGCGTGGTCAAGAGAAATTCTAGAACTGATACACAGTTTTTAGCTGTTTGCGACCCGGTTCGAATCCCAGTTCCACCAAACATGCTCGCCCTTTCAGCCGTGGGGGCGTTATAATGTGACGGTCAATCACACTATTCGTTGGTAAAAGAGTAGCCCAAGAGTTGGAGGTGGGTGGTGATGACTAGCTGCCTTCCTTCTAGTCTTACACTGCTAAATTAGGGACGGCTAGCGCAGATAGCCCTCGTGTAGTTTTGCGCGAAATTCAAAACAGACAAACAAACAAACTTTTAGCTGTTTGTAAATTCTTCGAATGAATTGCAAAAAAAAAAAGAGCCCTTCTGAATTTTTTTCTAACAAACCAATCAAACACAAGCTAATAATAATATTATTATTATTAAATATTATTAGTAATATTTGAGGATTTTGAATTATTTATTAAGTAATATGTTGTTTGTTTCATACTTTGTTTCACAGGAGTGTCCGAATAAATTATTTGATACAACTTCTTTTGAAAAGGAAAATTTGAGCCAGACAACGTATATCTTGTCTTTCATTGTAGAAACAATAACAACACTACTTTTTTACGATGTTTGTTTGTTTTATATTTTTTCGTGCAATATTGTATAAAAAACATCAGCGTATAGATGTCATTAACCTTATTTTGAATTGATCTAGATTAAAGAAAAATCAGCTGTTCAACAGAACCCACCGCCAACTCTTGGACTACGTTTGTCTGAGCGTATAGTGGGATTTGACCGTCAGTCATATAGACTACAGAAAACCCACGGCTCCAAAATGCGGAGTGCATTTTTGAGGCAAAAGACACAAACCATGAATCCTCGTATTTACAGTCAGTGGGCACTAACAACTAGAAATGAAACTGCCCATATAAATGTACTTACTACACGAGAATTTAAGAGTTAAGGTGTATTAACACAAAAGCTGTTACGGACATCATATTAATTTTTTATTTACTTCCGAGACAGATTTTGAATAAATCGTTTAGACATAGAATGTCACGTGATTGTTGTTCGACAATAACGCACACCGCTTACAGAGAAATGGAATATAAATTTCTACTCATACGTGTACGTGTTGTAACTAATCATCTACCTGTACAGTTGTTACTTCATTATCATTAAATAGAATGTCACGTGATTGTTGTTCGACAATAACGCACACCGCTTTCAGAAAAATGGAATATAAATTTCTACTCATACGTGTGCGTGTTGTAACTAATCATCTACTGTACAGTTGTTACTTCAAAATAATCATAGTTTTGTTGCGCATGTCAGGTTTAGACAGGACACGAAAGATAAGTTAGTTTTGTTGCGCATGTCAGGTTTAGACAGGACACGAAAGATACGTTAGTTTTGTTGCGCATGTCAGGTTTAGACAGGACACGAAAGATAAGTTAGTTTTGTTGCGCATGTCAGGTTTAGACAGGACACGAAAGATACGTTAGTTTTTTTTTGTTGTTCTTTTTTTAACTTCAAGTGTTTATTATGTCATGGATTTGTTGATATTTTTTCTCTCCTAGCTCTAATGGACGTTAAAACAGAATCTCCTGCTCGATTAACAGGAAACAGTAAGACGGCACCAGAGTGCGCTGGTTGTCAGAAAGTTATTCGAGAGAGATACCTACTAAAGGCTCTGGACCAGTTCTGGCACGAGGACTGTCTCAAGTGTACCTGTTGTGACTGTAGACTTGGAGAGGTGGGCTCAACTCTCTTCACCAAGGCCAATCTCATCCTCTGTAAGAGAGATTATCTCAGGTTAGGAAAACATATATGTTCATGTATCTTGCTTAACTAAAAAAAAAGAGCGTCTCTTTCCACGCACGTTTTCACCTACAGCTTGAATACTTTTAGATGCCGGAACTCCGAAAGGAAGCCATGCATAAATTTTAAAACGAAACAAAAACACAAATTTACAAAATGCATGCCGGATTATTTTCTAAAACAGAATCAGTTTAGCATTTCGTGTACAGCAATAAGTCTCGCGCGTTAATGTTACTAAAAACCTTTTTATTTGCGATCAATACCATTGGGAGAACAACCACTTTGTCTAAAATGTAATTCAAGAGGCATTTCGGAGTTAAAAACTGAATAGTATAATTATGCCTTTTCTATGGACACCAGTATCGGACAAAGTTGCATGAATCACCCGGTTTAAAATTCAATAAATACTAATCTAATTTGTCGGCTGGGTGTGATTATGACACTTTAGGAAGCTGCATGCATGCGAGAGTCTCACACACACTACACTAGAAGCTTTACTACATATTACACTAGCGTAATTCTCTGACGCTTTGTACAAAGCTGCAGACGCTTCTCTTTTAATTTGTCGCCATCTTCAAAACGTACAGAGATGACATCACCTAGCGGATTTAAGTGAAATGAAATTTAACCTAAATGAAAGCATAGAATGTATTTAGATGTTTCCTAAATGAAAGCATAGAATGTGGTGTGTATTACTGGGACACATCTAAACACATTCTACGTTTAGGTGTGTATTACTGGGACACATCTAAACACATTCTATGGTTTCATTTAGGAAACATCTAAACATATTCTATGGTTTCATTTAGGAAACATCTAAATACATTCTATGGTTTCATTTAGGAAACATCGAAATACATTCTATGGTTTCATTTAGTAAACATATAAACACATTCTATGGTTTCATTTAGTAAACATCTAAACACATTCTATGATTTCATTTAGGAAACATCTAAACACATTCTATGCTTTCATTTAGGAAACATCTAAACATATTCTATGGTTTCATTTAGGAAACATCTAAATACATTCAATGGTTTCATTTAGGAAACATTTAAATACATTCTATGGTTTCATTTAGGAAACATCGAAATACATTCTATGGTTTCATTTAGGAAACATCGAAATTGTGTATTACTGGGACACATCTAAACACATTCACCAGTTTACGTGTGTATTACTGGGACACATCTAAACACATTCTACAGTTTACGTGTGTATTACTGGGACACATCTAAACACATTCTACAGTTTACGTGTGTATTACTGGGACACATCTAAACACATTCTACAGTTTACCTAAACGTTGAATGTGTTTAGATGTGTCCCAGTAATACACACCTAAACGTAGAATGTGTTTAGATGTGTCCCAGTAATACACACCTAAACGTAGAATGTGTTTAGATGTGTCCCAGTAATACACACCTAAACGTAGATTGTGTTTAGATAAGAACTTATCCAAGTCACTTATCCTAGTGTGTTTTGAGAATAATAAGAAGATAAATGTAAAACTATAACAGAAAAAGACATTTTACTGACAACCACGATTCTTCATTACCTTCATATTTATATTTACTAAGATGTTGCCTGCTCCGTGATGCTATCTATCTTTGGTTCGTAGTAATTATATTGTATCATCAAAGCTATGAACGGTCCTAAGTTAAAAATCATGAATAAGAAAACAATTAACTGGAAATGTGGTGGCAAATTGTGTGATTTTCTTTCAATACAGGTTATTTGGAACAACAGGGTTATGTTCAGCTTGTAACAAAACCATCCCAGCCTTCGAGATGGTGATGAGAGCCAGAGGAAACGTGTATCATCTGGAGTGTTTCGCTTGTCAGCAGTGTAACCACAGGTAGAATTGTACTGGTTGTTTATTGATATTTATCTAAGTGTATACATTAGCAAGTAACTTTGATAAACTATTGAACACGCGGATCCTAGTCCGCAGTGTAACCACAGGTAGAATTGTACTGGTTGTTTATTGATATTTATCTAAGTTTCACATTAGAAAGTAACTTTGATAAACTACTGAACACGCGGATCCTAGTCAACTGTGTAATCACAGGTAGAATTGTACTGGTTGTTTATTGATATTTATCTAAGTTTTACATTAGAAAGTAACTTTGATAAACTATTGAACGCATACCCTAGTTCATTGGCCTTTATTTGTTCACATTAAGCCTTATTGTACCAAGCCTTAAAATGTGTTAATTGTATTATCTTCTAATAGTAAACGGTGATACCCGCTTGAACGCTTTTTAATAAGCCTTATTGTTTCTTCCTGGTAGTGTCGGATTTTATTAAAGAATTGTTTTTACCTACACTGTACTTCATAAATACACAGTTAATTCAATGTGCTATGCGCGCCATTTGTTGCCATATAGTGTGAAACGGTAGTCTTGGATTTATTGTGGAGCTGTTACATGTCATAACACCGAGCTGTGTTATACAATCAGTAACTATCAGATATTATGAAATAGTGAAATTAAAGGAAATTTGAACATTAAAAGCTAGCAAAGAACGACGTGTGAGATCAAGTATGAGACCCTTTCGATCAATAATGTTCTAATGAAAAAAAAAGAACATAAAAACAGAGTTTATCTTCTGGATATCTCCAGAATATTTACGTGAGCCTTTAGTACTAAATATCCTTTTTTTCCCAATATCGTCTCCGGTGAAACGGATTCGTTAAAAACTAGGAATAATAAAATGTAGAAAGGAATGGAGCCGTGTTAAAAAAACAACAACAACAGTACTGGAAAGCTTAATAGCGATATAAATGGTTGGTAGTTTAATCCACAGCGATGTTAAAAAACAACAACAGTACTGGAAAGCTTAATAGCGATATAAATGGTTGGTAGTTTAATCCACAGCGATGTTAAAACAACAACAACAGTACTGGAAAGCTTAATAGCGATATAAATGGTTGGTAGTTTAATCCACAGCGATGTTAAAAACAACAACAACAGTACTGGAAAGCTTAATAGCGATATAAATGGTTGGTAGGTTAATCCACAGCGATGTGGAACAGATTAACCCCCATGCGACTCCTAAACAGGCCTGCTAGATACTCTGGACCAGCTGACAAAGAATGTGTAAAAATATCTGTACACATTAACATTATGCTTGAAGTGTTTTATAATAACAGGCCTAAAACTTTGTGTGATTAACGCCGACGTATTAGTGAACTCAATATTATATTCCAGATCAATTATAGATGCTAACTCCTTTATACAGCCTGGCGTTTATAGATCGTATTTCTCGCTCTTAATCTTAATACACCGGACTACTGTACTTGGTAATGAATATATACAAAGAATAACTTTGTTTTATGGTTTGTCTTTTCATTGTTTTTATTAACGTATCTTATAAATGTCTATTTTAGGATTTATAGGGGGACATTTTAGTTATATTGGGCTGCAGAGTGAGAAATATTTTTTGTAAATTTTGAATACTGGAGGAGGTATAAATAACATGCATGGATTATCTTTCATCTACATATTAAATCAATTTAATACACGATTCCTTCCAGATTTTGTGTTGGTGACAAGTTTTATCTGTTTGAGAACAAGATACTGTGCGAATATGACTACGAGGAAAGAATGCTATTTGCTAGTTTTCCCTACAATTACAACAACCTATCACAGATCAAGAAACAAGCACGTGGCCTCCAGACCGGTCCCAGAGATGATGGGTCAAGCGGATACGGGAGCGGTGATTCGCCTTACGATGGCCGGTAAGTTTTGCGGTACTGAAGAGGATCTGTAAATAGCGTCACGTTGTAAATAGGTGTGAGAGGTAAAAAAAAAGAAACGATATCTTACAATAGTTTACAACTAAATTTTATTTCCATAACACTGAAATTTATACTTGTGTTGAGGAGTTTAATGGCAGAAAAAAATAACACGTATATATATATATATATGGTATTAACGAAACTTCATCAGTCTGGGAAAAAAAACGGACAATATATATTTCTGCGAATTCACATGGAAGTGATAAAAAAACTGGTGGAAACAGTTGTGTTTCATGGAAGTGATAAAAAACTAGTGGAAACAGGTGTGTCTCATGGAAGTGATAAAAACTAGTGGAAACAGGTGTGTTTCATGGAAGTGATAAAAAAACTACTGGAAACAGGTGTGTCTCATGGAAGTGATAAAAACTAGTGGAAACAGGTGTGTCTCATGGAAGTGATAAAAACTAGTGGAAACAGGTGTGTCTCATGGAAGCGATAAAAAACTAGTGGAAAC